CATTGAGCAAGAAATACTACTTAAGACTTCTTGTTTTTTTCAAAGAATTTTTTAGAGAGAATCTCACAGTGATAAGCTGATATCTTATAGACTCTATAGCACTCTTCTTCTATTTTCTCTCAAAGAGTTTTTTAGAAGTGTAATAAGACTACACAAGTGTAAAAATTCTGAAGTGATTAAAGAAAAGAGATATTGAAAATTAATAAAAAGATTAATATTATTAATCTGTGAGCTGCTGCTATTCTAATAGAGCTGCAGCCTGCTGAAAAAGTAAAAAGAGAGAATTTCAGAATCTACTCATTAATAATTATACTCTCACTGAACTTATTCTTCACTGTTGAAGTCTTCAGTACTGATATCTTTATCTGCTAAGAAGTTAGTACTGCAGTACTATAGAGAAGCATGCTGTAGAAGAGTATAAGAGATGCTGAAAGTGTTAACTTATTAACTTATAAAATATCTTAATCATCTGCTTTAACTGAAGTAAGATTCTCTTCAATCAGTAATTGATCTTCATGATACTTTTAACAGTAACACTGACTAACTTCTTCTTAAGATCAGTCATTCTGAGGTGTTTTTTCATCTTGAAGATTCATGCTTTCATCTCTTTTTACAGATGAGTAAGAGAGACCTTCTCAGCCTTGATGAAATTCATCAATACTTAAAGCTCTGAGACTCTCACTCTGTACTGCTTGAGTATCTAGACTTCTTGTCAGAACTGACATGATGTCTTTCTGTGAGATAATACTTATAGAGAGATAGAAGTTATTGTTGCAGATGCAATGAAAATAATAAGAGTAAGAGAAGAGATAAGTATATAAAATCCTTCTCTTCTTCAGCTGCTTAATGCAGTGCAGACAAGTAGCAGTACCAGTCAGAGACCACACTGAAGCCTTCTCACAGAGAGAAGATGAAGAAACTGCAGAACTCTGCAGACTCAACTCAGCAGTATTCTGAGCAGGGCTCAGGCATGCCATGAGAGAGAAACTACAGATTGAGCTTCTCAGAGCCACTGTCTCTGGAATCAAGCTCTTCCCAAGTTCCTCTTCAAATGATCACACAGGGTCATACACCACTGTATTGACTGGGAGAGGGGGTGGCATCACAACAGCATTGAGAGGGGCAGGGAATGAACCAGACATGGATGAACTGACTGGCAGAAGAAATGACATCTCACTGCAAGACACAGTGACTACTGCTGCAGCTGCAAAAGAAGCAGGAGAAGAAGAAGATATGACAATGAGAGTGGTGCTCTCACAGCTCATTGATACTGTCACCTTCAACCTGGCTTTCTTGATGATCACAGAGACTGCTGCTGCACCATGAAGATGTTTACTCACTAGAAAACATCAGAATAAGCCCTCTATTATTCTTCAAGAATAATACTCTTATGCACTTACTGTTGCAATTGAGAGAAGAGAAAGAAAAATATTTCATAAAAAGAGAGAATCTTTTTAAAAAAATCCTGTCACTACTGTTAGCTTTGTCTCTAAAACACATCACTTTTGCAGAGAATTTCATATATAGAATGAAATATAATAAGAGATCTGTAAGTCACTTATTAACTATATTTTTCCACATTTTAAATCAATATATAAGAAACTCACTTATCATGTGTTTGATTTGAATGAAGGTGAGAAAAAGAAGATCTATACAGTTAGCAGAAAAACTCATCTATTTCTTTATATCATATGCAGCATATGCACTGTCAATCAGTTGACAACTGTTACTATACAACAAAGATAATTTCTAATCTAATAATCTTAAGAGTATAGAGACTATACTCTTAAAGAGAAGAGTATTATCATACTTCTGACTATGCTAAGACTCTGTTATGATTTCACATAGTCTATCACTTTTATGCAGATGATTTCATTCTGTCTGAACTGATTATCAATCACTCTATGACATTATTCAGATATATTATAGAAAGATCTGATTAATGAATATAAGAATCTCACTTCTATATGAGATCAGCAGATTACTCTTCCTTGATAATGAGATGCTGCTGAGGTATCACTCTGGCTATTCTCACTTGTGAAATGAGAGAAGAGTATTCACTCATTGTCTATATAGAATAGCTAGATGCTGGCTTCTTATTAAAGAAGTCAGTGATTTGTTTCTTTTACTTCTAGAGGAATATACACAAGAGTTACTGTGTGTCTTATACAATCTTCTTAGTATACTAAGTACCATATCTGTGATATTCTCACAATAACCCTATAGCCTATGAGTTCGCTATTCAAGCAAGATAGTCAAGCTCACTCATACGGCTTCTCAAAACAACTACCTCTACGTGACGCCGCCGACTAGCCACCGCTTCGGTTCCGTCACGTTACAAATTGACTATAATATCTCTGTGAGAATACCTATCTTTTTAGTACAGAATATACTGAACTTCTCAGAATTCACAGTTAAATCAGATGATTCTCTGACATCTACAAGAAATATCACTGTAGTGAGGAAATCTTTAGTGAGAGATAGTCTTAAAGATTTATTCACTGATTCTGAGATCACTGCACTTTCAATTCTGAAAAATCTCATATATATTAAAGCTTTCATAGAATGAAAATATTATTACAAGACCTGTGTTAAAGAGATTAACTATTTGAAATAGATAGAGATCTAATGACTGATTGAGAGAATATTATAAATAAGTATTCTTTATAATCAATGAGTATTTGATAAAAAGTTCAATAATATAAGTAATATTATCTGTTATAAGACTTACTGAGTTATCTATGAAAATCTTCAATAGAAGAGAGTTAATTACTCAAGAATCTTTACACATATTATCTCTGTATTCATCTCATAAGCTCTCATAATAATCTTGATATTCTGAGAATAGTATGTTCTGCAGATTGATATGATAACTGCTTTTTTAAACACTTAACTGCCTGCTGATGAATGAATATATATAAATCAACTCACAGAATTCTGTGAAGACTGTGATAATCTTGTATATGAGTTAATGCAGAAACTCTACAATCTTAAGTAAGCAGCACTCTTATAATATAAGAAGCTGTGAAAGATGCTATTATACTCAGACTTTTATATCAGTCTCTCTAATACTGAACTATTTATTCATAATAAAAGATAGATTTATATAATTATCTACATGAATAATGTTCATCTCTACAGTCTGAAAATCAAAGATCTGAACTGAGTCAAAGCTGAAATCACTGCTAATTACAAGATCAAGAATATAGAGAATTTCAATTACTATTTAGAAATGAAGAGTGATAGAGATTCAACTTTATTAATATTATCTCAATCTCTCTTTGTAAGAAATCTTCTGAAGAAGTTTTTAATAAATGACTGTCATTCTATATTCACTTCTATGAAGAAGAATATTAATTTTATGAATGATGATAAGAAACTGATTATATACATAGCAGAATTTATTCTATAGTTCTATTAATCTGATATCAGATCTCTGTAATATCTGACATTTAATACCTGTTCTGATATGAGCTTTGTCACAGAATTTCTTGAATGATTCAGCTCTCAGTCTACATCAAAGAACTGGGCTGTATACAAGTGTACACTTCAATATCTACAGAATTCAATCAATGAGGATATAATCTATCACAGAGGTGCTGAAATTGAACCTGTAGTATACACAGATGCCGATTGAGCCGGTAGAGATCCAGGATCCTGTTCAACCACCGGTTATATCATCTACATGGCAGGTGGCCCCGTTGCATGGCAGAGCTGCCGGTAAACAGGGGTCTTCAAGTCATCAACAGAGACCGAATATATTGCATCCTTCAAGGCTGTATATGAGCTTGTCTGTCTCTGAGAGCTTCTAGAAGACACTGAATTCATCCCATCTTATCTCAATAATCTGAATGCTGATGATCATCTCATTTCCATCACAGTCAATGATCTTGCTTATACAATTCATGCTGATAATAAGTCTGTCATAGAGCTATTCTCTTCTGAAGCAATTCCACACTACTTGAAGCATATAGAGGTTCATTTCCACATTCTTTAGAATCTTGTTCACAAGAATGAGATATCTATCTGATATGTTCTATCTGCTGAGAACACAGCAGATGAGCTTACTAAATCACTTGAAACATTGAAATATATACATTGAAAAGAGAAAATAAAGAAGATAGGAATATAGAGGGATAAAAAATGATGTATATCATGACTGATTTTTCATTACTATACATTTTTCAGTCATTTTTTATATCTGTACTTGATTAGAAGGCGAATTTTGTATATAGCATCATGTATAGTTACTCTGGTGAGTGGGGATGTCAGGTCACATGATCTGGCTTACTAATCCTTCCATCATATAACTTTCCACAAAGCTAGCAATCTTTCAATCACACAAAGCTTTACATCTTTCACAGCAAGCACCTGAATAATTGCCTATGAGTACTTATTCTTACAACATCTCTATAACACTGTGATAATGTATATTGATTGATTTCATATTATTTAGCAGTCTCAGTAATTAGAGATCAATTGTGCATTCAAATCATCAATTGCTGCTTGTATAACTGCTTCATAGTGCATGTTGTGAGTGTTTGAAGATGGATGAAAAAATGAAGATTGAGCGGGCGTTGGGTGTACGCGGGCGTTGGGTAGATTGATTACGTTAATTATCTATATTTACAATATAGCTAGTTATCTTCTCTCAGATTAATGAGATCACCTATCTCACAGAAACAAGAAATGTTGAAACTAATTCGACGATGTACATGTACATGTACAAGTATAGAATATATGATTCACTATGAACTCTGGCCTCTTCGATGATCAATTTAATACTGATTTCAGAGACATTTACCTGAGTGCCATGGATCAATTAATATTCAATTTCGATAAATTTAACTACCCCGCCGCGGCTCCCCTGACAATATCCAGCCACTAACGTCACGGTCAAGCTGCCAGCCAGGCGTAGCTAGTGGATCTGTGTTTTCGTGATGATGAAGGGGAAAGTAAATCCTATAATTATGTAGTTGCGTTTGACTAATTGGGTATATGTTTCCCGCCGCTGTCGCCCGTGATATGACGATTTTGACTTGTTCGATTTAACATCTGCTTTAAATTACAATCGCCGTTGACTCGCATCTAACGGAGTAATTTAAACCCAATTACCCCAATTCTTACTCAGCATCCAACTGATTCCTCCCGTGCCCCCTCACACTTCAGCTGTTTATATATCTTCCCTTATAGCTACCGAAACACACACGTCTAGAGGGCTGGAAGGACTCTGCTTTAGTCTTCAGACACTCAATTCTTAGATAATCTAGTTCCAACCTTTCTCTCTACCTATTTCCAACATGGACGCCCCAATTGTCGACGGCAAGTTCCGGACAGATAACACCAGGCCATCCTCCTCCAATCGGGGGATCATGTCTCTCTTCTCACTAAAGGGGAAAACAGCTATCGTCACCGGTGCTGGCGCAGGAATCGGTCTGGCTGTTGCACACGCTTTGGCCGAAGCGGGTGCCAATGTTGCCATCTGGTACAATAGCAACAAGGCTGCTCTCGACAGGGCGGCGGAGGTCCAGAAGAAGTATGGTGTTCAATGTAAGCATTCTTTAGTTATTTATTACGACATATCTGTTCCCTTCGTGTTCAATTGAACCTATTTTTTTTACGAAAAAAGAAGTTACGTGTTTACAAAAGCGAACATAAGTCCTCCCAGTCAGCAGAAGCTGACTACTCCATACATACAGGTAGAGCATATCAAGTCAACGTCACAGACCCACAAGCAGTCTCTGACGCCGTAAATAACATCGTCAAGGAATTCAACGGGCGCCTCGATGTCTTCATTGCCAACTCCGGCGTCGCCTGGACTCAAGGCCCCATGGTAGATGCCGAACTGGATCATTACCGCCAGGTCATCGCGACAAACATCGACGGCGTTTTCTACTGTGCCCGCGCTGCTGCCCACCATTGGAGACGCCAGAAAGAAGAGGGGACCGATATCAACGGCAAGAAGCTGGAAAATTTCTCCTATGGAAGCTTCATCGCCACAGCATCGATGAGTGCGCACATTGTCAATTACCCGCAGCTACAAGCGGCGTATAATGCATCCAAGGTCGCTGTGATACATATGTGTAAGTGCCTTTCTTGTGTTTTTACTCTAATATCGATGATCTCCATCTTAAACCAGAGGCGTTTTATTAACCATACAACTTGTAGGCAAATCTTTCGCCGTCGAGTGGGTGCGCTTCGCACGTGCTAACTCCGTCTCGCCCGGGTATATCGCCACGGAGCTCTCCAACTTCGTCCCCGAGGCGACCAAGGATATCTGGCGAGGAAAGATCCCCATGGGCCGTGAGGGAGAGCCCCACGAGCTTACTGGCGCATACCTGTACCTTGCCTCCGATGCTTCTAGTTACACAACCGGAGCCGATATTATTGTTGATGGAGGATATGTCTTGCCATGATCACGTTTTCTGGTACCTTTTGCTTTGCTGTTACGCATTTTACCTAATCTGAAAAATGATACTACTTTTCAACATTATTTCAAACTGGGAACCGAATGTCTCGTTTTGAGCATGATGCAAATAAGGGTTAGCATAGATGGGTGGCTATTATACATCAATGCGGATTAACTCCACGAGGAAAGAGAAGCCCTTCCTTCACTCTCCCTCCTTTCTTCTTTTTTCCCCCAATGGACTAAAATAGATTATCACTCTCTTTCCTCCTTTACTTCACAAGAAGACAATCATGAGAATAAGAATAGGGAGATTAAAAAGCGCTAGAGTTATCCTATTTACGGAGCGAAGCGAAGTAATATGTTAGGTGCTTGCAAAACCTGATTAGAATAGAAGGTGAGATCTTGCAGGCCCCATTCTGTGATATGATTGGTTGAAAAAATGCACACCCCATGTGACTCCTCATTAGACTGGCCGTTTAACTGTGACTGGGACCAGGATCAAACTTTACAGTTATCATGTTGTTTAAAGACATTACTTCTAATCACAGTTTATATTCATTACATTGATCTTAAATCACTTTATTTCAAATATTGAAAATCTCAGATTTACTTTTCAAATAAAAATTTAGTCTCAGTTAAAGAATATATTTAAATTCTTAATTATAATTTTATTCTGCTCTTATTATTAAAAATAATATTAAATTAAACTGTGAAATTATTTCTCACTTATATAATATTATAACATAGTTTTCATTTATCGAAAATTTAACAGAGTATTTTTAAATTTTATTATTTTTTTAAATACAGTTAAAACTTTAATTAAAGGTACTTATAATTTATGTAATTTAAGTTAAAAATGAAGAAAATTTAAAAAAAAGAAAAAGAAAAGTTATAAAATAAAAAATAATAATAATATAATATAAAAAGTTTAAAAGTAAAAAGAATTTAAAAAAAATTAAGTTATAATTTTAAAGTTATAATATTTTATCACTTCTTAGAGGTTTTATAATATATATTATCTACTGTATATTTTTCATAGTGAGAGTAATATAGCTGTGATGAATTATTATATTAATATTATATAATAAATAATCAATATATATTTATATTTATATAAATAAATATAAATAATTAAAAAGTATACACTTAAAAAGTATAGTTAAAATGAACTTAACTATTACTTAAATTATATTAAAAATAAAATACTGAAATTAATAACTCTTTTTATTAATTTCACAGATAAAATATATAAAAATAATTTGAAAAAATATTAAAACTGTGGCGGGCTGCGGCTAATTAATTATATAGACTATTTTATTATACTTTATAGATTTCTGTTAAAGCTTTAATTCTAAGTTATCAATTCTCAGCTGAAAACTCACAGAATTTCTATTCTTTCACTCTGAAGCTTTACTATGTATGTGTATAAATATTCACTCTGATTACTGATTTCTGCACTTTCACTTTTTTTCCTTCTCTAATGCTTTTCAATTTTGTATTATAAGACTTATAAATATTATACTAATCTATTTAGTATAGATCTCTTACACTTGAAAAACATTCATTATCTTCTCAATAAAAATAATTACTTATTAAGATATCTGAATATGTAACAATGTATAAGAAATAGAGAAATAAATAACTAGTTAAGTGAGTACTGAGTCTCTAAATAGAAGCTTACTCATCAGTCACTCTGACTCTGTAACAAAATCTTACAAGAGAATGTCAGTAAAAGGTCTGAGAGTACTGACATCTTAAATGTATAAGATATTTATACAATTACACTTCTTTCAATTTCTGTAAGAAATCCCGCTTCTCACGAATTCTTTACCTCTATTCCTATCTCTCATGTAATCAATAGAGTTAGTGGCCCTTGGCTACACACAACTATATAGATTGAAGTTCATAAATACTATTCATAACTCAGCTTGAATTCTATTATATATTTAATCTCTACATTTTATCTTTCTACTGTGAATACTTCTAGTAGTTAACAGTATATATTATATCAAGCTACAAATATCTGAATAATCATCTGTGAGTACTTATTCTTACATTTCAAGCTCAGTTAGTTAGCAATCATCTATTATAACTGAAAGAACTAGAAACTTGTATACTTCAATCTCTGTAAACTCTACTACAAGCATTCAGAAGCAGTTATCTTAATCATAAATAATCTTTATAAAAGAAGTCTCAGACAACTTATTAATTACTGACAGAATATTATTCTCTGCATCTGTGATAGAAGAACTCTCTGAATTCATAAATAAATCAATCTTAGTGAAGAATATTCTTGAGCAGCTCTTACAGAATCAAGCTATTTTTTCACAAGAAATACTTACTATCTGTAAACATTCTTAAATCAAGTCTCTAGACATAATCTTTGAAAATATCTATGAACTGAAAAGAAACTTTCTTAAGCTATAATCACTTAAGACTAATTATTAAATTACAATCTATAAAAGCTTTTATAAGTTTGCATTTGAAATTGACTTACAAGTTTAACTATATAATATAAAAGATGAAAAAGCTGTTATCTATACAATAACAGATCTCTACTACACTGAAGCTAAGAACTGACTGAATTATTTAAAAAATGATTATAAGAGATTTCACTGATCTGTTCTTAAGATCTATTTAGAGAATAAGTTAAGAAACTTTATAAGTCAGACAGAGAATATCTGAGCTGTAATTATCAGTATTAGAAAAAGAGATGAGAAATCTGATAAAGACTACTTATAATACTTTATAAAATTATAGTATGAATTAAGATCTGTGAAAACAGAGCTCTGAAACAAGATCTGAATAATAATATTTATAAAGAGACTGAATAAAGATATGTAGAATAAGCTTATAAAGTAAGACTCTAAGTTCTTAACTCTGAAGAAACTGATAACTCTCATTCACTGCTTATAAATCACTATAAGAGTCATAGACTTATAGAGAGTGAATCACTGATCAGTTCTGTAAAAGTCAGAATAACAGAGAACAGATTTATCAGAGAAAGATAATAAGATATAGAGAGATTCATATCTAACTACTAAGCAGAGAGAGAGAGCTTTATAAGCTTCTATAAATAAAGTATATAATAGAGAGATTAAGAAAAAGAGTCTCTACTTTATCTATTCTAAATCAGAATATCTCTATACAAACTATTCATATAAATCAAAATAGAAATTTGAGAAGTCATAGACAGAGTTAGCAACAGCCTTCTTAAGAGTCTTAAAGCTAATATCTGAATCTGTTACTCTCTTAATAAAAATATATACCTATGAAAAGAGACTGTACTGTAGTACTACTACTCTATAAGTATAAGAAGTATTAATAAACTCAGAATTTCAGATCACTGTAGTGTCTCTAAAGCTTACAGAGTAAATAAGCTAAGTGATGAAAACTGAAAATCTGCTCTTATAATAAGCAGAGTGTGAGAACTCAGATCTGAAAACTGAGAGACTTATAAGAATTATCTTTGAATTGCAAGATCTCTCTGAAATCTGAAGAAGATTTATAAAAACTATGATTATCAAAGATATTACAGATAACATATACTTAAGACTTATATAACTTTAAAGACATAATCTGTATATAGCTATCTATGAGTCAGGTTTATACTTCTGATCAGTATTAACAGACTTACTTACAGAGATAGAATCAGTTAATACTGTAGAGTTAATTAGAGAAGATAAGCTCATCTATATAATAACTTTATAAATATCTGAGAACTTTGTAATTATGAAAACTGAGCTTCAGATATCAGAGAAATACTGAGATCTTACAGAGATGTTCAGCTTAGTAAAGATAGCTGAGCTTTCTTCTCACTATAACAAGAATCTAGTAATAGATTTAATAGAAGAGTAGAAACTCTTCTGAGAATCAATCTATAAGCTCTCTTATTACAAGACAGAGATCTTACAGATCTATGTGAAGAAGAATCTAAAGAATAACTTTATCTAATCTTCACAGATCTCTGTGAGAGTCTCTGTGATATCTGTAAAGAAGAAGAATAAAGATCTCAGATTATATATAAACTACTGTAATCTGAACTTCAAGATAATAAAGAGTCACTATTCTCTGTCTCTGATTGAGAATGTAATTAACTGTCTTGTGAGAGCTGTTATATTCACACAACTGAATATAATCAATATATATACACAGCTATGAATACAGACTGAGAATGAATAAAAGACTATCTTTAGAACTGTACTGAGATTATTTGAATATCTAGTAAGATCTTTTGATTTAACTAATATCTCTGTAGTATTTCAGTCTTTTATTAATAAAATACTTCATATATATTTAAATGTCTTTGTGATAATATATCTGAATAATGTGATGATGTACTCTGTGAAGAAGAACGAACACACTGAGTATGTATGAAGTGTGTTGAAGATCTTAGATGAGACAGAACTGTATGTTAAGCTTATAAAGTGCAACTTCAGTATCTATCAGATTAATTTCCTAGAATATATAATTACTGTAGATAATATTCAGATGAAATCTTTATAAGTTAAGACTATTCTATCATGATCAGAGCTAACTAGTATTCATGAGATTCAGATCTTTCTAAGCTTTGTGTGAATTTCTATAGATGATTTATCTTTATATTTATGAGAATCTTCTTGACTCTTACAGTCATAGTGAAGAGTGAAAATAAGAAGAAGTTATTCTGTGAATAAAGAATGAAAAGATTGTTAAGAAGAGAGAACTATGAGAACTTTCTTAATCTAGAAGCTCACAGAGTCTTTATAAGATTAAAATAGATATTTATGAATACAGTGATACTGTTTCACTTTAATCTCTTACTCTTAATCAGATTGAAGACAGATGTCTTCTTCTTTATAATTTCAGAAATAGTCTCATAACTACAGTTAAATAAGAACTGAATTTCAGTGATCTTTTTCTCACAGAAGATGTAATCTGTAGCAATTAACTATAATATTTATAATTAAGTGCTTCTCATAATAGTGAAATTTTTCTGTCACTGATATCACTACTTTGAGAATCTTATAATAGTAATTACTGTTAAAACTGATCATAACAGCTTATAATAGTTTACTTTAATCAAGAAACTCTTACAGTAGCAGGTTCACTGAGCTCAGAGACTGAGTCAGTTCTGATTCAAGATAGAGTATATTAAGAGAACTAAGAACTCAGCAGATGAACTCTCTTACAGATCAGACTATGTTAAGAAGACAAGAGTAATAGATACAGAGAAGTTAGAGAAGATAGAAAAGCTTTACAGAATGCTCAGACTAAGTATTATAAAGAGATTGACTGAAGAGTCTCTTAATTCTCTGTAAGAGAAGAGAGAGAAGAGAGAGAAGAAGTCTGTATAACTACTCTATATAACACTGAGAGTTAACACTCTGAGAATCTCTGCAAGAATTCTTGAAGAGAGTATCTATAATCTGAAGAGTTTGCAGACTTTGAGAAGTGCTGTGAAAGACCTGATATAAGAAAAAACAGAGTATAAGTCTTTATAAGATCTTCTGTTCAGATTGTCTGAACTGTAACTGAAGAATGAATATACTCAGTATATTTGAAAACTGCTTATAACAGGGATCAATCCTGTAGAAATAAAGAATTAAAGAGACTTAAATAATCTCTTGTGAAGAGAGAACTG